CTTCTTCAATTGAAATTTCTGTAACTGGTTCGATAATATTTTGTTTTAACTGATCTCTTAATACGTTCCTGTATTCGGAAAATAGATTAGGATCTTTTCTAAATCGTTTTCTAAGTCGATGAAATCTTTCTTCCACGATTTCCCTATTATTATTTAGATTTGATGTGTCATGTTTCCAAGGCAATCTAACTTTGTAGCGAGAATTTTCATATGTTATATTTGATTCGAAAATATTCCACGACTTCATTTTCAGTTGAATCGAAGTTTTCCCTCTTATCAATAAGTCCTGAGTTTTCCAAGTCCCAGAATTTTGTTACTTGTTTGGAAAAATCAAATCTTCCCCTACAACTACATTGAAAGCTAAAGAGAACATCATCATCACCTTTTCGTCCATGTAGGCACCAGCTGAAAATAGTTTCCACTGCAACAAGATTTTTGCTTAAGTATTTAACGTGTCCTATTACTATGTTGTAATAATAATCTGCACCAATTAGAATGGCAATGGGTTTTTTACAATCGGGAAAATCTGCGAGCATCAGATTTTTTAATTGTCTGTTTTGCTTAATTTCTTCTGATTTAGGAGGAGGAATATTTGTACCTGATATATGATCAGTTACTAATAATTCAACTTCTATTCTAGAATCGGGATAACTTCTATGTTCTAAAGTTAATTTAAACTACGTCATAATTTTTTTTGGATGGGAGAAGTATTCCCAAAAGTGTAGACAGTCATTTTTCTTTTCTTATGACTTCGAGGTTTAATCTGTCCGCTAACTCGCGAGCACAAAAACTTTTCATACTTCCACTATCCAAGAGAAGTCTGGCAAACACCTTTTCCTTAGCTGTTTTAACTTTTATCGTGCAAGTCTGTAAAAGAATTGGGTTATTTGCATTATGTGAAACGGCCGAAACAATTTCTTCTTTCTGTTTCTTAGTCTGTGTATCATTTTTCGAAATTGATATACTATCCTTTTTATCACTTGGTGTATTTTTAACTATCGAACTGGATTTAAAACATATGGCTTCTGAATGTTTACCTTTGCAAGTTTTACAAACTTTAGTTTGGCGTTGCCGGCACTGTGAGATTTTGTGTTTAGGGGCTAGACAAAGAAAACAACGCGCTTGTTTTTTTCAAAATATCTCTCTTCTCATTAACTGTAAGGCATAAACAGGACTCTGAGTCATGGTTTTGAAAACAAAAAATGCAGTTTCCATTTGATGACGCGGCTGCCATAAATTCATATGTGGTGACAGTTTGTTTATGTTTCGGCGTCGGTGGATATCTGTTAATACCTTTCATTTCCGGGTTTGACTTGCGTGGAAAGGATAACGAATTAATCTTTTCTCGCGATTCTATTTCTAACCGGAGAAAGTCTAGAAATTTGTTTAAATCATAGGTTGAAGGATTTTCAGTATTTGTACGATGAAATTCTAAAGTTATATCGTTCGGGACAATTTTCATCAAAATTGGAATAACCATGTTGGAATATGTTTCTGGTTTCACACCGAATGCTAAAGGCTTCTGACTTGAACGTTAATTGTATCATAAAGTATTCGCAATTTTGCCACTTCACTTGAACTTTGAACGTGGATTTAAATTTAAGAGATTAGAAATGTGTGTATTGATAATAAGGTTCACTTTGACCGAATCTATTTCTAAGAATGTCTGTAGCAGAGTCAATAATTAACCTCTTCAGGTTGAAAGACCCTTCTATGGCTGATGCTGCATTTCCATATAAATAAGTTTTCAAATAACTTAAATTTTTCGATCTTCGAAAGCTGTAACATTGTCATGAATAATTACCTTGAATGAATTCCAAAAATTCATCCAATCGTTATAGTCTCCAGGAAAATTAGTGAATTAACAGTTTGGGCAATTTCACATTGCCTTCAATCTGTCTTTGGTTCAACTTCGTAGATGAATTATTAAATTCGTGTTGATATTTGAGTATTGTATTTCCTTAATAACGGTTGATTTTAGACTTCGCATATTATATTTTATCGTTATATTCCATAGAAGTGTTAATATCGGAATCTAATTTTGATTCATCTTCAATCAAATTTTGTATTTTTTTCATTTAAATCATGTAGTTCCGTTTCTTTACTATTTAACAATTCCAAACAATTTTCTAACTCTTCTTGATTTTCTTCTTTTAAATACTCATGTACATTTTTAATAATTTGAGTTACAGAAGCACGTATATGTGCTCGATTCTTAATTAGTGTCTTCTGTTCCATTTTAATAAATTATCAAAGGAGACTTACCATGAGAAGTCTTCGCTTACAAAGCTAATCCAAAAGGCAAAAAACACAAATTTTCCAATTAATCAGATTCTTTTCCCGGCCGATGCACCATTATGTAACGAAAGTTCTAGATCAAAGTCGAATCACTCATAATCCAAAAAATGAGATGCATGGCCTGGAGGGTTTTCCTAAATTTAATTAAACTTAATATTTACATATATACAATGTAGGCTAAAATGCCTGAATCGAATATTTAAGGCTCAAAAGGCAAGAACTGAATAGTTCCAGCTAAAATCTAAAATCGAATTCTATTGCGTAGTGCATCGAAATTCTACCTTCAAGAAGAAGAATATTTTTTCAAGTCAATTGTTCAGAAGGGGAAAGGTTAAGTAAGGCAATAGATGGACTCCTAACGCCATCTCTTGGCAATATCAAAGAATATTCCTTAACAGGAGGTAGAAGATAAAAATAATACATGCGAGAACTTGAAAATTTCATCTGATATTAAAATATGAACATTTCAGTGTAAGAAGCAGAATTTAACAATTTTTTTTACAATTAATGGAGATTATCATTATTTTACTTGAAAAAAATGGAAATATTTCGCGTGATTGAGTACAATGAATCAAATGTTTTTATTAATGATCAAATTTTTGTATGGATGCATATTCATCGCTGTTCGTGAAATCAGCAAATAATGCATTTTAATGTTTATTAACAATTTTAATAAATAATAACTTTGTGAATCAAATAATTTTGTTGCATATTAAAATTGCGAAACGAAGTTACATCAAAGATATGATTTTTAAGACCTTGATCACATTCTAAAATTATTTGTATCTAAATATAGCAGAACACTTTACAAAATCTCAGTAGAAGGATCGAGAGACCTTTAAATTTTTTAAGTTTTACAAAACGTATTTTTCTAAGTGCCAGAACATAAATATTTACGTCATTTAAAACATTTTGAACCGGAAGTATATGTTAACAACCAACGTTTGCTAAAATAAAGACAAGGAAAGAATTTTTTTTTCTTCCGAACGCTGTATATGGTAAACATAAACCCGGTCTTTGAGAATTCAAGTTGATGCTAGGCGAGTACACTGGTGGACAAAATTAATAGGTGGAAAAAATTTTTCCATATTTCTCTTAAAATACCACACAAAACCTGAACAGTTGGTTGCCATAAAATGTCACTGTGGTGCTGATGTCACTGAGATGAGTTTATGTATTCCTGTGGACGAAGCTACGCCAGCGAGAAGTATCAAAGTCCGCGTCCATCCAGCTGCTCAGCTCATTCCGTTGTGCAACACAAAAGTGATTTTATTGTCTTGCTTGAATAATCTTGTTGTTTTTTGCTGTTTTAGATGAAATGAGTACACATCATCGCTTAGACGAAGGTATGAGATGGATAATCTTGAGTACGCAGGCCTAAGGCAGGGCAGTCCAAAGCTCAGGTTGTATGAGAATTGGGTGTAACGCCAAGTGTCATCTCTAATTTGTTTAATCAGTTTTAAAACAGCAAGACAGTGTCCAGGAAACCAGGACAAGTTTGCCAGACAGCCGCAATGACCAATGATGACCGATATTTGAAACTTGCAGCCTTCAGCCAAGCACCACGACGTCTACAGTCGCACAACTGTCTCGTGACCTCCCTACCGCCACAGGAATATCAGTTTCAAGGAAGATAGTTACCCGAAGGCTTCTGACTATATGCCAGAAAGCTGGTTATTTGCATCCCACTCACTCCCTCCCACAAAAGAGAACAAAAGACAACACCAAGACTGAGCACATTTTTATTGGGTTAACGCTTTCTTCATGGATGAGTCCAGATTCAGTCTACAACCTGATTCTAGGGGATTATTGGTATGGAGGGAGCCTAGGATCCGATACTATCCCAGCAACATCATGGAAACGGACCGATATGTGATGAAGTGATGGTCTGGATAGAGATCATAGGAGATGCCCGCATACAGCTCTGTTTGTTTGGCACTTGTTCTATGAATGCCCAGAGGTACACGCATATAATCTTAGAACCCTATGTGCGACTTTTCAGGGCTCCTGTTGGCCCTGAGTTCATTTTTATGGACGGCTATGTACGAACACATAGGACACACCTGGTTGATGACTATCTGAAAAGCTAGGTAACTCACCGATTAAATTGGGCAGCCAAATCTCCTGACCTTACTCCTATTGAACATGTTTGGGTTGCTCTTGGGAGGGATATTGCAATGCGGCAACCCCAATCCGGAACCATTCAGGAGTTAAAAACTGCTTTGGTGGAGGAATGGGTGCGACTTCCACAGGCCTTCCTGAACTGTCTAATTAAAAGCAGGGTTACTCATTGTGCATGTTGTCTGTCTGTCAGAGGCAACCACACAGCACACTAGCCACATATTCACTGCTATCTTTCAACCTCAAGTTTGGACGACATTGGACTCTTCTCCATAATCATGCTAATGAATGTCATTTTCATTTTTGTTTTGTACACAATATTGTCATACAATGAACTGTAATCATTCCGAATGTCATTTATTTATATCCAGTATTTCTCAAGGTATACGAGAAAAGGTGTTCATTCTTAATTTTGTCTACCAGTATATATAATCTAACCTTATAAGGTATTTTCTTCCCCCTTTCAGCGCACCAGTCCAGGTTAGAGTGCCCACGAGAGCATTGCTCATTTTCCCATCTTCTGGTTTAAAAAGACCTAATGACTACAACCTTTATTATATAATCTATTTCTTTCTATGTAGGACGTGTATTTTCTCTCTTGGCAACGTGCGAGGCATTGACTCCTGTCCTTGGTACTACTTGCATGTTACAACTCTACAACTGGTCGGCGTCATTCTATCCAGGCTTGCCATATGTAGCTGCTGCTATATTTCTTATACCTTCTGCTGTCATTTTTGCGTAAGTTTATAATATTCATATGATTGCTACTAAACGCATATTCTTGTGTTCGCTAGCTTATTTGCAAATGTTTATAATTAAATAGCATCTACTAATAAATATTATATTTTCCATTTATTTCACCTTTAGCTTCAAATTTATTACCCAAAGTCTTTTCTTATACATTTACGTATATTATCTTTTTCACTAACAACTCTTATTACATTTAGTTCAGAGACAAAGTTTCTGTCTGATATTACTTATTTGTTTTTTTTATTATTATTTCATTACACCTTCTGAACGGGACCTTGCAGAAAGTCTTATTATCTTTTTACAGTGACCGAATAGAGCTGAACTCTATTCGGGCTTCATAATAGTCAAAATCGGTTGCCATAAACTTTACGTAGACGAATTTATTGCGTTCAAGTAATTAGTTTTCCTTACATTCACATGAAGATGTTTGATTCTTATACATTGTCACACGGGTACATTTTGTTTTATTTTAAAGAAGTCTCACATAATTTCCTCAACTTTAGGATTGAATGTGCTTCTTTACGTAATTCACTTGATTCTTTTACTTATATTATACCGAGACTTACGAATTATTAAAGCGGATCTCTGCTCCGTGTAAACCGTTAGACGACTTGTCGCCCCGTTGTAAACTTCTAGTGGAATAACCATAAACGCAGAAGAAGGTTTTAAATACACCTTTTTTTGTAACGTAACAGTTACTTCACCCATGTATCACAAAAAGAGATGTGGAATCTCAAAGAACATAAATGGCAAATTAAACGGAAATAAATACAATATGCAATTTACACGGCAAATTTGTCTCAAGGCTTTTAAATACGTGATGAAACACTGCTAGCAAAGGGCTAAAGCCGATTTAGGTAACTCTAAAAAGGAGATCACGTTTAGCAACGCGTCCTCTAGAAGAAACTTTTCCAAAAATCGAGTTTCTCCCACTATTAAACGGAGACGTTCCTAGCCGAAGTAGTATTGCTAGAATGTATGTTCCAACTATTTACGGCCGGATATTTGCAAGTGAGGCGAAGATTTTTTGCTTACAGCGAATGTTTACCAAAAAGAACTAATATTCACGCAAATCAACCAGTCACATATCCCAAAAGCAAACACTTTTGGAAATGTGTCTGTTCTCAGGAATAGCTATCAGATCTGATAACAGATTAAGAGCTGGACATCGTATAGCGTATAGCAAGATAGTCAGCCGTCGCTGCCAAAAGCTTACCCTTAAATTCAAAAACTTTGTTCTTATATACACGTTAAATAATTTGCAACCTGTTGAAAGCAGAAGAAAGTAGAAGTTATAGTAAAGATAAAATTAATGAGAAAATGGTTAATAAATATTAAACTTTACAATATTATGAATGTTAGTCAACAGATCATTTGTAATCTGTATTTTCTGTGTGAACATTTCCGAAGAGATGATTAAATGATTTAAGTAATTCTTTTATTTTATAGAATATTAAAAATATACTCACTCACATTCAAAGACGTATAAGTAGAAATTAAATTTAGTAACTATTTTCTTTCATATCTTGTAGTTTATTTACTTTACGTAAACAGCTATAATGTAAGATTTTACTTACTATTTAAAACTGAAAATGAAAATAAAAAATTATTAATCTTGAAACGATAGAATTAACTCTGTTATAAAACAGTAAATTCTTATATAAATTAGGAATTCCAATTAGCACATTTTTTTGAAGTAACGCTTCAATGTTTAATACAGTGAAGCTAAGTAACATTTTTGTTTGTTTTATCGAAGCAATGGAAGAAGTAATAATATAAAATGCACACACGACTCCCGACTTTACAAGCGAGTTAATTTCTGAACAATCCCGCGAACAGGCTGGCTGCATAGGCGTTTTTGTGGTTTTCCCCATGTGTAACGTGTATACGAATCGGTTTTCCTTAGAAAGTCCTCCACGAAAGGCATCCCTCTAGGCAGATAGCCCTCGTGTGCTTTGCCTTAATAATCCAATCCAATCCTAATTTCCGAACAAACTTTCGTACCATGAATTTGTTCATGGGTTCACCATGCGTCTCTATTATAGGTATTCATGGAGATATGGGCTATACACTATCGAATACACAATTAAAAATACTAACACAAATAACATGTTAATTTTTTTAAATAACATTTTAAGTTTTTAATACGGTACCTGATAAATAAACAAAGAATTACTTTACTATACAATACTTATCTTGTAGATACGTTTGAGGAATGTGTGCATGCGTGGATAGAGTGATGTTGAGACTAGTACATTTTTGTATGGGGGGGGGACTCAACGTCTGACACACCCTCTGAAGACTCGGAATTAAAGGGGTCGTTTGTAATGAGGGGGTTCTATGAGAGGTGGAAGAATATGGCATATTAGAGGGGCAGCAATACGGATTGTGTTTCTTAAGAAAAGAAGTGTCTTTCTTAAATAGGATAATACGGCTGTGTGTCATTGGGCACAACACTTCAGCAAACCTCTCAGAATTTGGATCTTGATTTACCTCAAAAGTGAGGCCTTCTTGAAACTTTTGAAACGCTACTGCTATCAATTTTATATCAAAGATTTTAACTCTTCCTCTAACTTTGTCTGTTGCTTTCCCAAATGCACCAGGTCTTCGGTAGTTAATTTCACATTTTAAGAGCAGGTTAGTTCTTATCTACGAAGGTTGTAATGTGGAGAATGTGTTCCTTCTTTGGTAGATAACTTAACTCCTAATAGTCATGAACTGGTCAAAGGGTACAGCAGCGAGCTTCGCTAGCCACTCTACCGGTCGTGTGGCCAATGTAACCTCTGGTTCAGATTCAAGTTGAAATGCAGATGACACAAAACGTTTACCATCAGTAATGTGAGTATGATTCCTCTGTACTGACTGAAAAGCTTTAATTTTGTAGACATTACTGGTTCAATAACGATATAATAATGTCTTCACAGTCGGTGCTTTAATGCACTGTCATACTTTTGAGGATATCTTCAGTTGAAGTAAAGATTGAACAATGTCGTCATCATTACTTCAGCCGTCGAATGGAACTGTGTTCTGAATAGAGGTTCCATTGAAAAGATATTGAAGCAGTAAAGACTGGAGGGAGCTTTGAAAAGAAATTTTGGAAACCCCGAACAGATGATATAATGGATTTTCTGTTGTTACAACCCTTGCACTCTTATTATATATTTAAATCAGCAAACATGGTGAACTTCATTTTTTATTCTTATTTATTTTATTACATCTCACCTGAACTTTTTGGGATTTTATGTTAACCATTTTTTGCACTTTTATACCGTTTTCTTTGAATCCATTAGATTAGGAAAGCAACAGATTAGTAAAAACGTATTGGAAATAGTGCATTATGTGGTAGACTAAACAAAAGTGTTGGCTTTTATCAGTTTGCACGAACACGAGTTGTTACAGCAAAGAATTTGTTGTTTTATCTCCCTACAAATTATTTGGTTATAGGCTAAAAGTGGCGCCATCTATCTATGATAGTAAACACTACTTTTTGCTTGCAAAAAAGCGCAAATTTATTTTATACATATTATTAAGTAAATCTGATATTGTTCGTTAGTATTATTCGCCACTAACACGTAACTTAACTATTAAGGAAAATTTGTCTTGGGATTTAATTAAAGTGTTAAGTTTCAAGGTAATTTCTAAATAAAATAAAAATTTCTCAGATTTTAAAAGAAGTAAAAATTTTTGTCTAATTAATATACATCTGTTATATAAATAATAATGCTTTTTAGATACCAATAATGAACATTTAATTTCTTAAATATTTTCGTCAGGTATATCAACAATTTAAAAAACCTATTTCTTCCTTAATTCATTTGGGCCAAAACGTCTTATAATATTTAATTATAAAACTCTTCATAAATGTCAGAATTTGGGAACAGAAATCATTAAGTAACTTATTTCAAGCTACGTTCGAGTAAATTAGCTCTGCCATTTTTATAGCTCTTAACGATTGAGAGTTTGACATATAAATCAGAATTAAGAATGAGCGTTATACATGATTTAATGCAGTCTTAATAAAACAATGTCCTCCTAAATCCATTCCCAGGTTATAACGACTAGAAAAAAGCCTTTACATTATATTCTTCAGATAAAATGCAAAATAGAGTAAATTTTCAAATTACGCCAATGTTGTTCGATTCATTTTGTGTAAATGTATTAAATATACATTTTTACACCAACTCCGCAGAAAGAGAAAGGTCATTAAGAGAAACGTTTTCTATAATTTAAGTAATCAAACGTAAAGAATGAAAAAGTACATCTTTGTCAAAATTACTGATGATTTTTGATTACAAATTTCCCGAAGAATCATTTACATTAGAAAAGTATTAGTTTAGAATAGTTAGTTCTAAGTTACCATGAAGGATTAATTAATTTTAAATTCTTATTTATTGAAATTCAGTATCCATAAGTTAATGCTTCTCAAAATGATAATGAAAGTGGTTTTAAGTTATGTAGTTCCAGCAATATTTTCAGGGTCGATTTTGCATAGTAAAGATCGAGTTTGCATTAAGGAGTATAATGTTAAATTTGAGTTTTCTTCGCAGAAATTTTATATAAATTTTAAGTTTAATATAATTTTATTAAAATGTTTCAAGTAACCATAATTGTCATAGTCTAAAATCTATCCCGTTTGAATCATTTTTTAAAACAAAATCATAGTTATTTTAAAAAAATCTTTAGCTTTATTTATTCATCTGCTTTTTGTTATTCATCTGCTAGAGATATGTAATTTCATTTTATCCACACTGCGCACACATAACTATTAATTTAAATCAATAAAACTTAATTTTTTTTATTCTTTACAGCTGGATGATGCGTTTACCAACAATGTCTTTTACTCAGTACGAAGAAAATGAAGCTACAAGAATGATGGAAATGGAAGATAGACGTGCTAAAACATAGAACTTACAACTGAAAAGACAAATGAGCAGTATTCTTATGCGGATTTTTATTAAGAATATTAATTGTTTAAATATTTAAATATGAATATTAGGCATTTTCGACTTTATAAAAAGCAAAGATAGTTAGTCCTTCAGCAAGAACTTTACGCCTATATTTTTATGTAAGTAGATAAAAAATGGGGGTTCTGCGACACGCGGTGTGCGGTATGGGCGTGGTCAATGACGTCACACAGAAGGCGGGGCCAAAGGCAACGTCATCAACACTAGGAGGCGTGGTCAAAGTGGAGTTGAGGTGTTGGTAATTGCTGATTGGTTGTAGACCTCCTGCTTTCATTAAAGTTAGTTTTTAAAATTGGCAACGGAAATATTTTGCATCTTAATTTTGATGATATAGCGATGCCCTCTATTAAGAAAAAGTAATTATATGTTGAAATATTTTTTTTTAAGGCTGGTGTTAAAATTATTTCAATCGGACTGAAAACATGTAAAAGAAACAATATAAAAAAGACTTTCCTTTAATGATAGTTCATCATGTCATGAAAATGAAAATACAAGATAATTTTTTTTATTACTCAATTTATTCTGATACTTTTATTCTTTCTATTTTCCATGAAACTTAATTATTTCTCAGTTTCTGTTCATAATAACATATTCATTTACTGTCAATTTTTAAATACATATTTTTAATACGTTTCTAATTTGTAATATTTTATTAATTTTCCACATACTATTTTTTTCATACCATTGAGCATACCCTGATTTTAACGTATATTTATATTTCACAAACGTCCCGCACATGCTGTTTTTTGTTCCTACTTTTTAGATGCAATTTCGCATTTTTAACGTTATAATGTTCAATATATTCTGAATTTTAACTTCATTTACTTTTTTTAAACCATTCTAGTATTCATAACACTTTAACTTATTGTTTGAAATTCTATTTAAAAAGAAACGTTATTTTTCGTGAGCTAGTTCTTTTACTAAATTTACAGAATTTCAATTTCTTTCACATGTTCAACAATATCTTCCTTACATTACCGAATATTTTTTTAAAAAATTAAGTCTATAACT